GGACATTCCATCGATTAGCTTTCTGAAAGAGTAGCTTGCTATCTGCTAAATCTAGTTCCTCCAATAGCATGGCTATGGGAAGCATATATGAAACACCTGAATCACTCATTGTTTCGGAGAAACCAACTGGTGTTCTATTTGGTAAATGAGTGACTCGCTCAGCCTTGGAATACTGGGAAAGACTTATCAAGATCATTAATTACACCCTCCACCATGCACCAACAGTGTTCCTGAGGGGGTGGAGTAGTGCTGGGAACTGAGAACAGACAAGGGTCCTACTCATCTTCTTGGCTTCTCAGGCTCATTCCATCAGACTTTATGCAGTTTCTATGGAAAATTCTGCCCTCAAAGGACATAGTGAATTTGCCTAGGAGCTCATTTTATAAAGGAATCTTTAAGGTCATGTGATTCTTAGGTGAGAAAAGACATTCAATCAATTTTTTACAGTTTGAGAGTCTCATATCCGTGTTAGGTGTTTCTCATTCTTTACTTTTTGCCTTAGGGCAGCATTTGCCCAGGACACACAGACACACAGACACACAGACACACACACACACAGACACACACACACACACACACACACACACACACACACAAGACAAAACAAAACAAAACAAAAAACCTAACTAAACAAACAAACAAAACAAACAGGCCCCTGGACCCCTACCCAGACCAGTGAACTTGTGATTTCAGAAGCCGATGATGACAGGATTCCTGACCCCTTCATCTCCTCAGGGTGATTCTGCAACACAGAACACATTTCAGCTCTTACAGATTCTGTGTTCTTCTAGGGTGTTGGTGGGGCATTGGGGGCGTGGTTGGGTGGGGGGAATAGTGCACAAACCTTGAAGAGAGGGAGCTTAGCCTCTCTGAAAGGCCTTTTCTCCTGTTATTTTGTTGTTGTTATTTTGGGGGACTGGGGCTTAAACCTAGGGCATTGCACGTGTGAGACAACACTACCATCGAGCTGTATTTCTAACTATGGAAAGAATTGTTTTGCCTTTTTTTTTTTTTCCTCCATTGAACAAGCAAGTATTTGGAGAAAAATCTCAGTGTGTTTCTAAAGGGCACCCAACTGGCTGTGTGGGCCGATGGGCTTGGAACTGAAGATGCTGGAAGCTGCACATGTATAAAACCACGAATTCCATAAATACTCAGGATGCTTTTTAGTAAGCGAGAGCACACACCCTGTGTTAGCTTTCCCTCACTGTGACGAATACCTGAGATGAATCAATTGGAGAGAGGGGAACATTGCTTTTGGAGCATGATTTCAGACGTTTTGATCCACGGTCACTTGGCTACATTGTTGTGGGGGCATGGTAGCAAAACGGGTCATTATGGGAGCACAGAGCTTGTTGACCTCAAAGAGGACAGGAAGGGAAAAGAGAGACAATATCGCCTTCAAGGGCACTCCCTCCATGACATAACTGCCGTCCACTAGGTCTATGCCCTTAACTTTCATCGCCTTCATTAACATCCTAGGCTAGGAACTAAGCTATAAACAGATGAGCCTTTGGGGGACATTTGAGCTTTAAACTGTAGCACCCTTTCCTGGAACCCTCACGGGGTTGACTCTAATAAATTGGAATCCATGACTATGTCTGAGGAGCAGCTTGATTCTTATCAAGTAAGATTTGAAAAATTAAAAAAAAAAATTCTGTGAAATCTCTACCTCAACCAAGGTTTGTGATCTCCAAAGTTTTGCAAATCAGACCTTTATATAACATAAGCAACCACTTGCCCTCAGCCTTTGATGCCTGGCTGTCCGCAGGCTTTTCTTTCTTTCCTTCCTTTGGTTCTTTTGAGACAGGGTTTCTCTGTGTCAAACAGTCCTGGATGTCCTGGAACCGATTTGGGGACCAGGCTGGCCTCAAACTCACAGACACCTGTCTGCATACGCCAAACAGGCTTTTTAAATGCTAATCTGTCAAATCAAATAGGTACTGTGCAGTTTCTCATAATCTCACTGCATCTAATGATGGTTTATATTTCTTAGCTTGCGTTACACACTACACGAAAGCCAAGGCCATTAAATGCTGTTTACACTTTTCACTGGTTATGTCCACCCGAGAGTGTGAACTTAACACTCTCATGCCTTCGTGAAACAGTCCTTAAAAAGGAAATCGATTTAGGAAGCACTCAACTAATGAGGGACCCTAAAGTTAGTTTCTTCATCCTCCGTACCTGCTGATTATAGACCTGGCAGTGGCCTCCGAATGGAGGCCTTGGGGGAGGGGTCTTTTGGGGATTCCCTCTTGGTTTACTCCTGTGGCGAGACCGCCAGCAGCTGCTTTCCCAGGCTCCGTGGTCTCCAGCCTTGGGGTGATGTGCATTTCACTCCCTCGTCTAGCCCATCACGACTTCCTGTTCTTTTTCTGTAATGCTTTTCAGATCCGCTCCTTCCTGTTGCCTTCTCCACATTCCGGTTCAGGCTTTAATTACCTCACACACACCTGCAACTCTCCTAAGATCCTCTTTCCTGTCTACAACTTGCCTCTCACGGTTGCTTTTTTATTCTTTTCACACACAATTCTCTTCCTGAAGCATCATTTCCATCGCACACCTCTTGCAGCAGCTCCCAGTTGCATCCGGGCCAGGCCCAGGTCTTCTGCTCCAAAGCCCCCCTCACTGCCCAGACCATCCATCTCCTTTACAGCTGGACCTCACTCCAGCCAAGCAATGTCCTGACAGCGTCTGTACAATGCTACAACGTTTGGCTAATCCAGTCAACTCTGTCAAATCTTCAGTTAATCATCTGGATGTTTTGTCTACAAGACGCCAAACATCTGGATTGACTGAAGGAATTCACTACAATGGTGGAGGTTGGTTTTTTTTTAAAAAAAGTGGAAGCGACCAGATGTTTTGGCATTACATTGACACAACATTGTCCCTAACATTTATCTTAATAGTCCGTCTACACAACCTTTTCTCCACCTGGGACAAGACCTGTCTCCTCAATGTCATGTTTTCCTTTCCTTTCGGATTATGGTCAAAATTCCCTGTCACGAAGTAGTTCTAGGCTAATCTGACTAACCCCATCTCTCGGTCCCTTCTGGCATTCACTTCACTTTTACATCTATAATTATTTGCAATTGAACTCCTGTGTTCTAACCGGATTATAAATGGTAGACGGTCTACCAGAAGGACACCTTGGCTCAGTTAGTGAGCGGCTCAGTAAACTGGTGACCAGGGGCAGAAGCTCTGGGGGCGAGTCTGATAGTCTAGCTCCTTTGTTCACCGTGTGACATTGATAAATTACTTAGCTTCACTAAGGCCCAAATCTTTTCATGATTTGGAAAACAGAGATAAAGATAGAGATGAACACTTCATATGGTTGTTTATAAGAATCAAATGAGTTAGCACACAATGCTTAGAAGAGGATCTGGTTTATAAAGTTGAGCATCCCTTAAGCACTAGCATTACTCATTACAGTCTTCACTTGTGAAAGCAGTTTTCCTGCCTGTATTTTCTTAGGCTATGACAGGGTCTTGGTGGAAGGTCAGACGGATGTTGTTTCCATCTGAGAGAAGGGAAACTGGGAGATTATTTATACATTGTTGGAGCAGTCTCTGAGCTGAGGTTATATCCTTCTGCATTTTTATCATAAACACAACCTCTCTTCATGAAGTGATATTGAACTGTGAGCATGTAATAAATTCATATTGGCCCTGGAAGGTTTTTTCTGGGATGTAGTGGTTTATCCGTCAATTTAACAAATATCGATTAGATTATTCACTCTCTGATAGGTTCTGAACACTGAGATACTAGTAAAAAAAAAGTAGACAAAAATGCTTTTTTTAATGGACTGAGTGCAAAAAAAGAAAAAGAAACCTTAAAAAATGTATTTATTTTTATGTGTATGGATGTTTTGCCTGCATGTATGTATTTATGCTATGTACATGCCTGGTATTGGTGGAGGCCAGAAGAGGGCGTTGGATCTGCTTGGGTTGGAGTTACAATTATGAGCCAACATGTGGGTTTTGAGAACTGAACCCAGGTCCCCAGCAAGAGCAGCAAGTACTCTTGTTGGCTGCACCATCTCTCCAGCTACAATAAATATCTAATACTCAATTCCCTCACCTGTAAATGACTAGCAAGTTCTGACCTCATAAGACTGTGTGTGAAAATGAAATAAGTTAATTGGGCAAAGTGCTTCGGTTCATAGTATCTACCATTGACTGCAAATGAACAGGCAGATTGAGACTGAACATGTGGAATGGAGAGGGTTGCAGTTCCAAAGAAGGATTGTGACTGTGGAATTCTCTGAGGCATCATTTGAACAAAGACCTGAAGGAGCCAAGGGATGCATTGTCAGGATGTCATGGGAAACACCGTTGGAGATAGCAGGAGCAGCCACTACAAAGACCTTGGGATGGAGTAGACACAGCTTACTTGATGAGCAGCCAGCAAGGAGAGTGAGTGGGGAGGGTAGTGAAAGAGGAGGCCAGAGAGACTGGGAAGCGGGATGGCAATTCCACCGAGCCGCATACACCACCATAAGGGCTTGGGCTTTTACTAATTATATAGGGTGTAAACAGAATATGACACTGTGATATACTTTAAAAATGTTCACTGACTGCCATGATAATAAGCTAGAGGGACACAGGTGAATGCAAGGGGACTAGATATGGTCCTCTTTTAGGAGGACACGTGCATATTGATGGGATCTTTTGCTTGAGGGGTAACAGTGGGAAATAGTCACATTCTGGGTCTGTTTTGAAGGGCAAATGCACAGAATGTCCTAACAGCTTGAGTGTGCAAGGTAAAGACAGAGACTCAGGTTACGTGGCCTGGACAACTAGGAAGCTGGCATTGCCAATGTAGAGATGGGAGAACCGTCATGAAGCAAGGCTGGGAGTGGCAGCTATGTTCAACTTTGGATGCGTCAGGTTTGAAACACATGCCATTTCCTAGGTAATGGACTTAAACCCTACACATCGCACATCCCTTTAAGTTCAAGAATCACTTGCTGAATTCTTCGGCTGGTTGGGAGATACCACTAATTCTTAATCAGTTTATTCATTTTGCACCCATAATACAGTATTATAATGAGATTTTTAGAATAGAGGAAAAATGTCCATGCCTCTCACCCCAAATAAAACATTTGTCCCAAATGGAAAATTCAACATTTTATACAGATCACATGGAAAAGAGAAGGAAGCCTGCAGATTATAAGTTCACTGTGACAGTTGAGAACCAACTACAAAGCATGTATTTTAAGGGGGATGATATATTTTCTATATGTGGGACCCTTCACTTCTAGTGTATTTTTATTGAAGTATTTGAATATCCTGATACAGTCATGACCTACATTAAGCACAGAAAATAGATTCAAAAACCACTTGAGTGTTTCTTAATTTCAAAATTATCTCCATCGTTTAAAAAAAGTGGTAGCAGTTTACCTATAAGGATCACATTTGGCATTATGAGGATGAGAAAAATAATAATTTTCTAAAAGACAAAAAAAAAATCTTTTTCTTTCTAACTGGTGCTGTGAAGAAAGCCTCCAGAAGATATTTTAGCTGATCAAGTAACATAAATTAATATCATGATGTAATCTTCAGGGAATAATTTCCAGCAGATGTGGGAGACAGAGAGAGCAGACTTCTGCCTGCACTGCATTTAGAATCCATGTTTTTCTTTTCAGGTGGGAATCCCCGTCTCCTAACTCCACACTGCTCTTTTAAGTTAAATGATGAATTTGTACATTATCATTTAAAGTGGGTAAATCAAAGACCCATCATTCTGTTTCTTACACCTCCTTTTCTCCATAAGGTTTGGTTCCTTTTTGAGCTGAGCATAAGATTTACTGGAATTAAAAAGTAGGGGAAAAAACCCAAAGAGAAGCTTTGGAAAATTTCATCAACAGAGAATTAGATACAAATCCATCGTACAATGGTAATCGCACAAAATAGAGAAGCATGGGGACTGTGGCTCTGGAAACGGGGTCACAATTGAGTGAGTTCTTCAGTGCCCATGCGAGAGTTAGTGTACGAAAGCATTAGCCAGAAATGAAAGTGGATGGCAAAAGGTTTAACAGAGCAGGGCTGTATCAGGGTTTGAAATGGGCCATGGTATGACACTCTGACAAATGCTGTAAATTCTTTCTGAGCTTGCTTGCCACCACATCACTGGCAATACCTCTCCACAGGGACTGAGGAGACTTAGTAGCTGTGACAGAGACATGGTCTATGGGTTTGGTGAGGGTTGTGTATGTCCGGGAGGTGGTGGGGATGGCCATGCTAATGAACATTCTTTCTACAGACCCAGTACTTCTAACACCACCCTAGTAAGGGCTGATGTCTTACCATTTTCCTTAGAATTTGAGTTTCATCTAGCGAGGATTTCTCCACAGTGTGGTGCCTGTATCACATCTCTCCATTAAAAGCTGAAAGAAGCAAAGATGGGAAATTCACTGTGCTTCCCAGTAAGCCGAAATGGGGCCACCCGACAACGAGGAACTGCTTGGTTGTTGGCTGTCACAGTGATGGTGAAGGCAGACCTACTCTTGTTTGTGAATGGCAGTGAAGAATGCCACCCCTCTTAACTTCTCCACATCAACACATATAGACAAATTGTTCACACTGATAGGCCCCTCCACGGTAACTCACTTCACACCTCCCCTCTCTTCCTTGTTATCACTAAGATAAAACAGCATGTTTCGGCTGTATTCTACCTCTAACCTTTCCTACACAGGCCACACTGACACAACATGACAGGTTTATGTACCTCACACATCCGATCTTATCGAGAACCTGGCAGTGACAGCTCGAGAAAGACACCCACCATCACTCACTGAATGAGTTCTAAAAACAGCAGCAAACCACTCATCCCCTCACACGTTTTAATGACCCGTTTTATGATATCCCCATTTTTAGATGCATTACTGACTACGTGGCCTCAGAGGGGCCACAGCGGAGGGCATGTGGCCCTGTCCTGTTTTATAACATTAAAAATCCCAGATGGATCTGCATTCACTTCAATTACCCTTTGAGAAAGGAAAGGTCAAGGGCTGGTTTTAGCTTTTACCTGCCACCAGCTTCACTCAAAGCGGAAGTCATAATGAGAACAGAAATGCCAATTGTTTTCTCTCTTTCTAGCATTCCCAGGCAAAGAACAAGAACTCTGACAGGCTGCTTTGTCTCAGGATAGTATCCCTGACCAAAACACATAAACAAAAAATAAACCCAAACTTAAAAATTAAGTGAATTTAAAGGCTATTTTTTATGTTTTCACATTTATTTTAGTTTTTTTTTCTTTCCATTTATTTGGCCTAAACATTTTCCTGTGACTACAAGCATATTTTATACCAAATTTAGTATGTTATTCTTTTTGAAAATTACTTACTTAGTTAAATTTAGTGAATTTTGTAATGTTGAAATACCACAATCACTACTACATTTCAGGATCTCCTGCTTCTTATAGTTAAAATAGGATGATCATTTAGCTACACTAAGATCTTAATTTTGTCATTATCTTTCATGGTTATCATCAGAAGGCGCCAAGCAAGCTTCCAAAGGAGGGAAGCAACCACCAGTTCTACCCAGCTCTGAGACCTATGAGCCACAGCCACCAGCATGATACTGTAAACCTGAGTGCTGTAGTGGTACGCACACCTTTGTGGTAACCAATCGCTCTCTAATTGGACCCAATACCCACTCAATAAGCATGCCTAGTACTAAAACCGAGTAACTATCCAGGGCTAATGAAGTCATGGATCTTGGAGGAAAAGCCCCAACTTCCATTTTACTAAACCAGCATAATCCCTCACTACATTCTCAACTTATATTACTTCTCTGCTTTACATTTTGATATATCTGGTTTTGTTTGTTCCTTTTAAGATACAGTAATATAGTTCTGTTTACTTATTTTTTTCTCTGTCCTGAGGATTTAGTTCAGGGCCTGGTACACGTTAGGCAAACACTGCTCCTTTAGATACATTCCTGGAGTGTAGTGGTCTTTATCACTATAAAGTATGCCACAGTGTGGTTATGTAACACATATGTATACTCCGCTTTATGATGCTTCAATGTAGGCTAGCGCCTACTCATCTTGACCAGTGTCTGAAAATTTCTTTAGGGTACAAGCCTAGGATTCTAACTTTCTGGTCATGGGCCATGACATTTTGAAGTTCCCTGGACACCGACAGTCTAGAGGAGGCGTGCTGCTGGTGGCTGGCAGGCAGCAAGGCAGGGACTAGGGTTTCTCCGTCCTCATGTCTGCTGCCAGGGCTGCACCTGGGATCACAGCTGAAGAGCCGGCGCTTTAGGAAGAGGAAACCGATTTCATTACTTCTTCTGAAAAGATGTGGCTGGTGAAGTTTTATTAGGTGACTGAAGTTAGCCTGCTGTACAATTTTAGCAAGCAGATTTTAGAACTAAAAATAGGTAACAGAAACACCCAGTGTGAATGATTGCATCAAGCGCTAAATTCCTGGTGTGCTCTACTGGTGGTACGGGTCCTGTGCACTGACCTGCTCCTGGTGCTGCTGCGTTGAGGTGGCCCAGCACCAGGATGTGGTGTTTGGAGAGCATGGCAACAGAGTGCTACCGTCCTGAATGCATTCATAACACCCAGGCAATGGCCTGGACAGAGAATATTAATTTGCCTGTGTATTTCTCACAAATTAAAGCGCAAGTCCTACTGGTCTGGCTATTTTTATATGTTTATATACAAAAAGAGTCATCAATGTTAATGTTTTTATTTTATAATTTTTTATTTTATATCAAAGTGTCAGAGAAGTTCCCCTTATTCCTTCTGTGAGCACTTATAAAAATCTTGACAAGAAGACTTCACACATTTCAGGGTAAAGGGCATCAACAGGCTTATACAGTCTGCAAATGGTTAACATTTAAACTGGAAAGAAACTGATTTCATTTCAGATTTAGCAATATAAAAGGTCAATTAAGGACAAAAAATGTTATCAGTAACCAAAAGCATTTGCTTACATCATTCCAAATTTACAAAACAAAGTATCTGTTTTCTGAGTCAGAGAACAGGTTCAGACATACTTTCCCATCCATCCGTGCTGCTGCGGTCCATGGCTGTCACAGGGACACTGACTGCGGGCACGCTGCGAGCAGCTCTGGCGTCACCACGCTGCTCTCACCTCCTTTCCTTCTTCTCTCTCAGCAGCTTCTTGCTCTCCTCCCTTCTCCTTTTGTTCACTGGGTTCCGAGGATCGTAGATCTCAAACGTGTCTGAGTCCTGCATGCTCGCGTCCTTCACCTTCCTGCTTCTGTCCTCAAACTGGAGCACGTGTGACATCCTGAAGAAGAGGAGAGAGGCCCAGTGAGCTCAGGCTGGGAACGCCAAGTAGAAATTTATCCCCCACTCTCACACAGGGAACCAGGCAGCAGCCGGCACCAGGAGGGGTCGCTGCTTACAGGTGCCCATCCCACCTGGAAAGCGGTTCTACAAACACATGCTGTGGTGAGGAATCTCACTCAGGGGCAGAGTGTCGAGCATGTGCAAAGCCCTGGGTTTGGGTCCCCAGAACTGCATAGCAGAAACAAAACAAAACTTTGGAAAACATGCCCGTCTACTTTGCATTTCTAGGAGTCTTTGCCCTCATGCTCAGTGAGGATTCCTCCCGGTGAGAAACTATGATTTCTACCTGCGAGTCTCCTAAAACCACATTTGAACCTCTGTCCTCTTTCTTTAAGAGTACACTCAACCATAGAGAGCCAGCTGTGGAACCAGATGCCAGCCAATAACCAGACCTATCTGCTGTTTGTGTTCTGAGTGGTTCAAAGGGTCAAAACCAAGGATTACACTAAAAACAAATCAAAAACCAAGCCAAAAAAAAAAAAAAAAATAAATCCCACCTTTAAATGATGTGTTAGGGCTGATGTGCAGCTCAGTGGCAGAGCATTTGCCTTGCATGCATAAGGTCCTGGGTTCAATCCCCAGTACCACTAGCAAATTAACAAAAACCAAATAAACAGTGACAAAAGTGTGCATCTATAAGATAAACGTTTGAAAAATAACCAAAAGTGATGTTCAAATTGTGTTGTGGCTGTCTTTTCTGGGAGGGTCTGAGCTTTTCTATCCTAAAGGGACTGGAACTTCTGGCGTAACTCCATGAACTACTTTTCTCCTCTCACTGTTGATTATAAAAGTTTACTATCCTGCCTTCCTACTTGAGCAAATGCTCACTGGTCTTAAGGTATCAGCATGTGCTTGATTTCTAAGTGGTCATAAGCTAGCCATCCTTAGCAGCAGGGAGCTGTGCCAGCCCTTAGCTGTGCCTCCATTGTGAGGAGTCAGCAGTAAACAGCTGAGTCAGAAGACGTCAGGGCAATTGAACCAATTAGGAAAGAGAAAAATTCAGTTTTTATATGAATAAATAAAAGCGGTAAGAATTTTCTACTAGTTATTTAAGTGAAAAAATCCAGTTAGTATCAGTTAGTGCATCTTAAATACGTATTTCCTTCATCATAGCAGACAGGAAAAACAAAACAAAACCCTGCATATGCCCCTTGCAACTTTCAGAGGAGCTCACATATGACAGTGATTTCCTTTGATCTGTATAAGCAGAGATTTGGACAGTTGGTACTGTCAGGTTCCCCTGCAGCAGCATAGATGATGAGTGATATTTATTTGTATAGAAAACTCTATGAGTATGTTCAGATTTTGAAGATTCCTGAAGAGATTTTGGGAGGAAAGGAAAATATTACAGATACTGCCCTTTTGGGGATATGCATATGGACCATTACTACTTCCTCCTGTTCTACTTTAGAAGGTCATGGTGATACAGGGAGTGTCAGTGACATACAGATGACCTACATCATATTTACACAGGGTAAAACACATTCAAATTACTATGTGTTGTCATTAATAATACAGTTTGTTCTGACTTTAATAACTGATCTCAACACAGGAAGGAGCCGCGCCACACGTGAGAACTTCTGACTTCTAACAGGTCCATCACGTACATATGTGGATTCCTTACAGACTCTGATTTTCTTGTGTTTTAAATTTCCTATGGTGTTTATTTGGGTGTTAGCCTCTGAGAGTGCCCAATTCCTTGAAAAAGTTGACTTTTTTTTTTTTTTTCAGTAACCAGGGAAATAAGGAACCAGTAGATCCAGCTGGAAACACAACTGGATTTAACCAATTAATGTTGACTTATCTAGGTCTAAACAATCAGTGACAGCTCATGTCACTTCTGAAAGTCAACTACCAGCAGCAACTTCTTGTTTCTGAACATTGGCTAATCGGTGGCAGACTCACCCAAGTGAAGTGCTTCTGAAAGCCAGCTAAACAGCATCAGCCTCTACTACTGAGGCTGCTGCTAAGCCCTAAGCAATTCCCCTCCTCCTGGGCTCTACAGAACATCTTCAACTTGCTTCCCTTGGCATGCTGGACAGGAGAGAGTCATCTGAGAGGAGAGAACCCCAATTGAGAAACTGCCTCCATAAGATCTGGCTGTAAGGCATTTTCTTGGTTGGTGGTTGATGGGGGAGGGCCCCGCCCATATGAGTGGTGCCATCCCTGGGCTTGTGGTCCTGGGTTCTATAAGAAAGCAGGATAAGCAAGGCACAGGGAGCAAGTCAGTAAGCAGCACCGTTCCATGGTATCTACATCAGCTCTCGCCTCCAGGTTCCTGCCCCATTTGAGTTCTGTCCTGACTTCCTTTGACGATGAACAGTGATGTGAAAGTGTAAGCCAAAGAAACTCTTTCCTCCCCAACTTGCTTTTTGATCATGTTGTTTGGTCACAGCGGTAGACACTTGGAGGGAGACAGTGGATAAAGTAAAGCTCTTTATATTTTGGTAATGCACGGTATGACGAGGCCTCTCCTCCCATACTCCTGCAGTCTGTCCTGTGTACCCCACAAAGTGCACCGTAGGAAGGGGAGCAAGTGCAATAGAGCGGCAAGGCTGTCCTGCTGAAGGCCCTTTACATACCACGGGAGCTCAGGCCCTGCGCTGTGAGCTCCTAACAGTCTCCCATCACCGACACCTAAGTGAATTCCTAAGCTGGAATCACATGTCTTTCAAAACAACTGTATTTAATACTTCGATATCGACGCTTCACTTACCCCACTACCCTAGTTAGGTTATTAGCCTTTCCACAAATTCATTGTTCTGTTTAAAAAAAATGATCCCACATTCTGCCTCCAATACAGATTTTTTTTTTATGACATCTATTTCCAGTAGAGATTATTCATATTTCAAAATGACTTTATTTATCAGACTTTGTCAATTAAAAACATGAAAAGGTACCTTCCTCCTTTCAATGCCATGAGACAATCTTGCAACTATTGGACTTGGTTGGTTCTGGTATAATACATGAAATTTAGGCAAGTGAGCCACAGAACCAAGTCTACAGGAAGAAACCTCTCTCACAAATCTGAAAAACATAGAAAGCCATAAATTAAAGGAGCTGTCTGCTTCAGCTGTTTGTTTCATACGCCTCTGCTACAGAGGTCCAAATTTTTGATTAATAGCAATCTTCAACCCAGAGGAAAGGAGGGGCTCTCAGCTTACAGACTACTTCAGCTTTAACACCACAACACTTGGGATGGCTGGCTACTCCACAATAGTGTGGAGTCTTTAATAGCAAGAATGGCTCACCCATTTATCTTTCCACATGCTTTGGTCACTTCATTTTTAAAGTGAAAACAAAGTAGTTATTATGATTTTGGGTATAATAAACTCCTGACCTCTGTGCCTCCATAAATCACACACTGTATGAATTGAAAGCTTGCCCACACTTCGGTCTCCTGGGAGGGTACATATGCAGACTGAGAACTTATTTCATCCATCCTGGAGGTGCTGGCACTTCAGTCTTGTACATCCCAATAACTCAGTCTTATCCACTCGGTGACTGGTTATAAAACTGGCCAATCAGAGCAATGAATTCTTGTGGAGTTAATTACACACTAATCATTTACATGTAAGAATTTCAGAACTTGTTTACTTGAAGGCAAAGACAGAAGTTTCATTCGGATTAACACAATCTTTAGCATAGACTTATGAGATGGGGCCTTCCTATCTCCAGAGTGGTGTTGTACAAGGAAATTTATTCTGATGTGGGACTGTGTAAAAGTATAAACAAGGTAAACAAATGGTTTTTTACTGACATGACATTCAGTATTAAAGTTCTCAGATAACTGGAAGACAAATTATGGGATGGCAGTGACATCTACGCAAAAGCCAGAAGATCTGATTCTGAGCTCAGTACAGAATCCCAACATTAGCAACTCATTTCTGATTAAAATGAAGTGAAATGATTTATCCCAAGAGAATGTAAACAGCCTTGCTAAAAGATTTCATAGCCATTCCTTCTCAATTCCAAGTCACCCCAATTTAAGAACATTTCCCTCTTGAAATAAACATGTTTATTTTGTTTTCTGAGATGGATTTGCTATGCACCCCGGACTGGCCTGGTACCTTTCTGGGTGCTAAGATTACAGCTATGTGCCACCATGCCCGGCTCAAGAAACAATTATTCTGCTATTCTGCTTTATTGTTTTAATTACTTAACTATTCTTCCTCTTCAAAGTCTTCTAGATTCTGAAAAGCATTTCTTATTCATTTCTTTTATCATATGCCTTTACTCAGGAACACTATCAGATCAGACTAAAATAGTTCAGGCAGAAGCACGCGGCATTCCAACGTGCAGCGCTTCCTAGCTCCCCAACCTGACTTAGCTGTTCATCACCTCTCACTATTTTCTAACTGTCTTTTCCTGAACTGGAGGAGACGCAGGTGTCTGAGACAGTGTATGCCTGCTTCACAGCTGTATGCCCAGTGCTGAGCACGGTGGTTTTTCATGAGAATGAAATCTTCAGACCCTTGGTACTGGCCAAGCCTGGCACCAGGTTTGCTAGGCAACCACTTGACCTTCTGTGGGCAGGAGCTGTCTTTTATTTTAACGATAAGCTTCCTGAAACACCTACTGGGCTGCAGAGAGTCTCAAGTCCATTTTCCATGACTTTTGCCAGCTCAGCACACACTAATGGTTGCTCTTACACTGCACTCTATCAGGCACCGCAAGGTTTTGCCCCCTGACAGACTTCAGGGGGAGACCCCTCCTGCTCCTCTGCACCTCCCACAGCTCCTAATGGAGAGCTCCGGGAGAGGATTTGTTTTGAAAGCAACATTTTTCTAAGTGCTTTTAGAACCCTTCCATCAGACGCAGGGTGCATGTGAAAATCAGCTGAGTGTTTTTAAAAATCATTCCTGCCAGGCTTCTATCTTCAAAGGTATCATAGAATTTAATTATTCTAGCATAAGGGTCCCAGAACTAATCATTAAAAACTTCTCACTGGTTATTTTTAAATGTAAGGAGCATAGAGCCAAAGATGAAAAACCTTTACATTTCTGCACTGACTGATTTAATTCCATTTACCTTTGCTTTGTTCCTTCAGAGTGAGAGAACAGCAGGTTCTTTGGTGGGGGGGACATTTATACTATTTTATTTTTGTGTATGAGTGTTTTTCCATATATCTGTATACCATGTGTGTGCCTGGTGCCCATGGAGGTCAGAAGAGGGTGCTAGGTGGAGTTATGGTTAGTTGATAACTACTATGTAGCTGCTGGGAACCCAAGCCAGGTCCTCTTGCAAGAGCAGCAAGTGCTCTAAACTGCTCATCATCTCTCCAGCCCCAAGACTGGGTTCACAATGACAAACTATTAACACACCTGACAAGACCTAAGTGGTCCCGAGTCTGCTCCGAAAACTGAGTGATTCCAAGGGCATAGTCCAGTCCTTATAAGTGGTATGAAAACGAGGCAACGAGCTAGACTCAATCATCCACTCAACAAACATCTGAGGGCTTCTTATGAGTGAGTCCACTGCTAGCTACTGACAGCAAAAAGGCAAATGTGGCCCAGGCTCTGCTCTCCAGAAGCAAACTGTTTATTTGGGAGAACACACAGACACCACAATGTGGCAAACATGGGTTTTGGAA